AGAGAGAGAGAGAGAGAGAGAGAGAGAGAGAGAGAGAGAGAGAGAGACGGAGACGATAACGGTGACGGTGACGGAGACGAAGACGGAGACGAAGACGGAGATGAAAACAGAGAACGGAGACAGAGACGGAGACGGAGATGGAGTTGAAAACAGAGAACGGAAACGGAGACGGAGACGGTGACGGTGACGGTGACGGTGACGGTGACGGAGAGAAAGAGGGAGAAGGAGATGAAGGGAGGGAGGAAGGATGAGAAGGAGAGAGAGACAGAGACGGAGATGGAGAAAAAGAGGGAAAGGGTGAAGGAAAAAGAGAGGGAGAGAGTATAAAGAAGAGTGTGAAGGAGAGTATTATCAGAAGAAAGAGAGAGAGTAAATTCTAAATTGTTTTATATTTTAATTTACCTTTTGTATAGAGTTCCTCAATTTTATGCTATCTCCTTCGCCTCTTCGTGTACGTTTGATGAAAAACAATTGCAATTTGTTATTTAGTGACTCCCGTCTTTAATTTACCTAGCAACGATGAAAATCAATATTAATCACTTGAAGTTGTAATCAAATGTGTAATGAATAGGTGAATCCAGAAGCGCACTCGCTCATTAAGCCGCTAAATAGTAATTGAATGTGATTAGTTCTTATTTTTGGCTCCAACCAATCACACTTAATTACTACTTAGCAGCTCAGTGAGTGGTCTTGCTTTTAGATGCACCGAATATCTATGGATTCATATCGAAGACGTAACCAATAATATGCAAGTTATATCTAGGGTAATTTTTATTACAATAAATTAATTCAAGTGGTATGTAAATTATGGTACAAGAGGAACAAACACATTTTTCCAGCGAGTAGATGTGAACCTTTTGATCCAACGAAAAGTTATGACAAGTATACAGTGTCGGATAAAAATAGAAAAAAAGAAAAATCTGATAAAGTTAAATTCAACGAATTGTGCAATTTCGTTTAAAAGATTCAGATTCAAAGGACTGTAAATATTATGACCAGATAAATAACTATGTTTCATCGTACAATTGATTTATTATACAACAGATTGTAATATATATATATATGTAAATATATATGTATGTATGTATTGTAGTTACATTGTATTTTTAAGGACTGTGATTTTAATTCATTCAGTTACATGATAATATTTAATTCATTTACTCGATTATGTAGCTCTACTAAATTACAGTCCTTTGAATCTGAATCCTTTAAACAAAATTAAACAAAATTAAATAAAATTTGTTGAATCTAAGTTTATCAAATTTTATATTTTTTCCTATTATTATCCGACACTGTATATACTTATCGTAACATTTCGTTGGATCAAAAAGTTCTCATTTATTCACTGGAAAAATGTGTTTGTGCTTCTTCTACCATGATGTAATAAAAAATAACATAAAAGAGAATTATATAAAGTATTCTTTTAATGTTAATTAAGTACCTAAGTACTTTTCCAGCATGTAAAGGGAAAGGGGCAGGGAAGGGGCAGGGGAGGGAGACGGAAATGGAGATGGTGACGGAGGGAGAGGGTGAGGAAGAGGGAGAAAGGAAGGAAGGAAGGAAAAAAGGAAAGGAGAGAGGGTCGGGGTCGGAGACGGAGACGGAGACGGAGCCGGAGACGAAAACGGAGATAGACACGTAGAAAGAGAGGAAGGAAGGAAGGGAGAGGGAGGGAAAGAGGGAAAGACAAAGACGGAGACAGAGAGGGAGAGGGA